CCATAACTTGACCACAACTTCAAGAGTTGCGCCAAACACTTTCTCACTGAGCCTATGCTTTCCAAGTTTGAGAAACGGCAGCGCCATCCATTCTAACTCCAAGTGTGCCAAGTACTAAACCTTTGCCGGCCGTTCAAAGGTTCCCACCCGACGGCCCTGATCCCGATTTAAACCTATTCACTGCATTACATTTCGTAAATCTTGCGTATTCTCCCCGGTTTGGTGTGTGACGAAGGGACGCGTCACGCCAAGTCGGCCGCGCTGTCACCGCCCGCGATTGAACAGCCCGTCCAACGAGGCAGGGTCGTAAGGGCTGAGCGCGTGAGCCCACCTCTCCCAAGTCACCCAGTTCCGACTCCAGAGGCAGGGACGCATTTTGGGGAGCGCGGTCGCGGGAGGCTTACAAGGGGAGCCGAGAGCCTTGCGCCGCCGCCGTTGCCGCCGTGCGGGCAGTTGGGCCCGCTGACTTCTTGGCTGCCTCGCTGGAGAGCCACCGCGAACATCGGCCTGAGGCGGTCCTGCTTAGTCTTTGTTCTCAGACTAGCCGGGCGTTTGGCGTTGCACGGGCGTGCAGGGGAGGGCGCCGGGGCGGTAAGATGGACAAGACGCGCAGACTGAACGGCGGGGAGGCCCTGGGGGCGATCGGCCCGAGGCGGGCTGCCTCGAGCCTTCACGCGCCCAGGGGCGGCGAGCCGCTGCATCCGAAGGGTCGCACGGCGATCAGGCGCGGCCGGGCGGGGATTCAGATTCGGGCCTACGTGAGCGATGCGGTGGACTCCCCGGCGGTGGCGTGGGAGGACGATTTCGACGAGCGGTACGTCGCGGGGCGGCTCCTTGGTAAGGGCAGCTTCGGGGAGGTGTTCCTGGCGACTGATAGGCACACGGGGCAGGAGGTGGCGGTGAAGGACATGCGGGCCAAGCGCGGGCGGCTGACGACGGAGAGGACGCTGCAGAAGATCACCAACGAGGTGGTGGTGATGAGGGCGGTGCAGGCGGCCCACGCCATGGTGCGCCTGCTGGGGACCTTCAAGCAGGGCGACCGATACCGGATTGTTATGGAGCACTGCGGCGGGGGCGACCTGAAGTACCACCTCAAGGTGGGCGGGGCGCGGTGTGGCCGCAGGTTTTGCGCGTTTCGGCATTGGCTCTCGCTGGGGCCTGGTTCGCGCATTTTGGAGGTGCCCCCAGTGGAGGCCTCCTGGCGTCGTTCTCCGTCACTTTGTTAAGGGGGCCGCTGTGGACGTTGGGGTTGACTCTGCCGCTGGGGACCGCTGAGCGAAATCTGGGGTGCACCTGTGGCGTCCTCTCCAGGGGAAAGATGGCCCTCGCTATCCCTTCCGCAGTAGTTGGGCGAAAGCGGGGAGGGGGTGGCACTGGTCGTTGTAGTTGTAGACCCTCTGTGGTCGGCTGCTTGTCGTAGTTGTAAGCGTTCTGTGTCCCAAGCGCTCCCGTTCGTAGATCTTCGCGTTGAGCGTACAAGCCCCTTTGGTGCGCAACATCAGATTCGCAGCGTGTTGTGCGCTATTCAGGCGCTGCGCTCTGGCTCCGTCCCTGTCTGGGGCACAGAGGCGTTGGTCTTCGCGTGCTCAACGGGCTATGATGTCCGCAAGGATTCCCTTGGTCCCATTGCTGACCGTATGCCCATTCGCAGGCGGGAGGGCCCTTCTCAGAGCTGCAGGCCGCCCTGGTGGCTTACGAGATCCTGGAGGTGATTCGCGCCTGCCACGACCGTAACATCGTGCACGGCGACGTGAAGACGGCTAATTTTGTGCTGAAGAGCTCGCGTATCAATCCGTTCGGCAGGGGCAAGGGCCCCCGCGTCTTGGAGAACGGGTGGATGAAGGCAATCGATTTTGGATGCAGTCAATTTGTGGGTGAGTTGGCCTGGTTGAGCCTGAATTGTGGCAAGCAAGTGAGCGGATCTTGTGGCGGCAACATTGGCTTGTAGTAGTCGCTGTGGCTTTCAGATGCCTGGGACTGCACACGCATTGTGCTGCTGGACGCCCTCTGACCTCCAGGAGCATTGTCGTTGTGGATGCCTGGGCTTGCTTCATGCAACGATGCAAATGCAGTTGGGGGTTTGCAGCTGAGAATATGCACTCCTGGCGATTCCCATGGCCTGTCCTGTACTTTTGTTGTTTATGTTGATGATGCGCACAAGTATTTGATACTGCGCTTGTTGTGCTCCTTGCGCCCAACAGATGACTCCACAAGAATGCGCTCGCGTGTTGGCACCCCCGTCTTCATGTCGCCTGAGGTGTTTGAGAGGAATTACAGCTTTGAAAGCGATTTGTGGAGTCTGGGAGTGTTGCTGTACCAGCTGCTGTCCAACAGGTTCCCTTTCTGGTGAGTTGATTGTGGCAGTGGTTGGCAGCACCAGTATCTCATTGTGGGCTTATTCGCATGCAGGTGTGCTTCACTCATTGACCATCACATTTTTAGGTGCAGTCCGATGTAGCCGTAGTCGCTGATGGTTGGCATACATGAGTTCATGCACCCAGCTTGTGGTCAGCACCATGTGCGCAGGTGTGTTGTTATTTCTCATCGTCAGCGAAACCTATGCTGAAAATTGTTGCTTGAAAAGGCAGCTGTTGATATTCAAACAATGCCTGACAGCAGCACATGCACTCTGAATGTGTATGGAACAAGGGTTGTGGCACATGGCAGCTAGCAGAGCATCGTGTATTTCATTTGTATGTGCTTGTTGCTTGTGTGCTGGGTCAGTGCCTGGCACACCTTTCTGAACCTGATCTTGCTGTGAATTCCAGGAGTCCCGCCGAGGCAGGGTCTGTGAGCACTGTGCACGATGTGATAGAAGCAGTGAACAGCAGGGAGCCGGACTTTGGTTACGGCCCTTGGCAGCACATTTCCACAGATGCACTGGACTTCCTGACTGGCCTGCTGGATAAGAACTATCGGACACGTATGTCTGCAGAGGACGCCTTGGGGCACCAATGGATTGCAAGGCACATTCGCCGGGACAGCCAGGGGGCTTTGATGTTGAGCAACATCGTGCCTCTAGGAACAGTCGGTGCAGAGAGCACTGCCAAAACTGCCACAACTGCCGCACCTGACTTGCTGGTGCCAACTGGGGCGGTGATTGTGCCTGCCTGATGTGTGTTGGCTGTTTTCGGAGGATTGTCAAGCTCGAATCATGACGAGCGGGTTGTGTAGCGGTGTTGAAGGGAGTTACTCCAAGGTTTGGGGAATTTTGGTGTTGAGTAAGAGGACCACCACACACCTTTGTCGATGGATGCTGTCGCAGCACATTGCTGGAATTTTGTTCAGCTGCCAGGGCAAGGTGTGTTGGCGAAGTTAGGGAGGCCCTTTGGGCCTTTGTCTGCATCCAGGGGCTTTTTCGGCTTGAAGTGACACCCTTGGACGAGGAGAAAATACCATCGTGAGTCTTGTATCATACTGTGGACTTTGTGGGGATGAATGGCAGCATCGTGCCACTTTTGGAATCGAGGCTGAGGAGAAATGGATTGAAGGGGGTTGCTTTTTTCATGGTAAAATGGCGATTGCCTTAGAGTCATATTTTGAGACATTTTTTGGAGCCATTGGGCATTTTCCCTTGCTATTGCGCTGGGAACATCAATGAGGTTTCAGGCAAACTTGGGCACAGGTGCCACAGTGTGTTTTAAGCCATCTTTAGTGCTGATATCAACAACTTGGAAGTTTTTTTAAATTCGCTCACAGAGGTCAACGATGGCTGGCGTTGCTGGCAACTGGATTGGCTATGCGCCAGTTGTTGGCACTTCTGATGGATCACAAGGTTTTCGAGATCAGTGGAATGGGGGCATGCCATTCTCATTCATGGCGAGTTTGTGCCTTCAAGTAGAGAATTCAAAGTAGAATAACACTTGTCTTTGGTTTATTCTTAATGCACATGGGCACACGCTGCTGGAGGCGTTTGAGGCTCGCCTTGGGATCAGTGGTGGGCGTTTGCCTGTGGGCCAAGCCATTAACAACAGGAGGCTGTGGCCACCGTGCGTTCATTGGAAATTAAGTTGGTGTTTAGAAGGGAGCATGGTTCACAAATGCACGAGGCAAGGATCGTTTCGTGGACTCTTGGAGTCCGCCATGGCTTAAATGGGGTTTGCACGTCTGGAAGCCTGAGATTTGGGACATGGGCTTGGGTGTGACAATTTTGATAGGATGGTTTTATGTAAAGCACCTATTGATCTCCTCACAGTGCCTGTGGCCCAGTGCTGGCCGCTACCCTCATGGACGCATTGCAACAAGCTCTGCTCAGAGGCACGAGCAATGTGCTATTTCATCTGTAACATAATCCAAAACCAAATTTGCGCCAACTGATTATCTTGCTGTGGAGAATATCTCCCCCAGTGAAAACATCCTGACCCAGGTCACTGAGCAGTTTCAAGTGAAAACCATGGACCCGAGGTGTGACTGCTTGGAGAATGGCAACTGACGGGTTAAGAAAACGCGTCATTGTCATGACAAGCCGGGGTGTTCATCAACACACACCAACCTCCACAGTGTCTAGTCGCCGCCAGTCGACCTCAGGTCATGTTCCACACATGTGGGGTGGAGCGGGGCGGGGCAGGGCTTAAACTCTCTTCTTAGTTCCACCCGTTGTTCCCCTCCCACCTTGCCCCACCCTTCGAGTGGATTCCCAGGACTGGATGGGCAATGGGCGACAGATTGGGCTCTATTAATCTGGATCCAATGCATTGATACAATAATAATTGCTGGCGTGCGAAGGGATTTGATAAATAGGTTTACAATTCCGGAGCGATTGGTGAATACCTGGGAAGCTGATTGGACGATGAGGGCAACTGCATGGCCGTGCTGCCTCTGAACCAGTTATGACCCTGCACGGGCTGGGTTCACCTTTCTTCGGCCCGTTGCAACAGATTCATCAGCCGATTCGCGGGAGGCGTACTGGTGGCACTTGCCATGTCTTCATGCAGCGTCGAGCTTATCGATTGGCAGTGCCATTGACATGTCCATCGTGTGATTTGGGCCACCAGGCAAAAAATAATGCGCCAAGATGTGTTGGAAACGGGGGATGGGGTGTGGGCGTTTGCACCACAGTGACTTGCACGACGATCCCAAGCCTTGTCTTCCAGTGTGTCCGTTGTGCTCTAACAACGATTCAGTCACCATCCATTGGCCATGTCCCCCAAACATCCTGGACACACGATGTCGTGTGCACATGTTTGTACGACCATCGATGGTGATTCAAACAAGCTTCCGATCCCCTTGACCTCTGTTTGTTCGCATTTTCCGCACCCTGCGCCTTTCCCAGCAGCGACAACAGGCTCGCCCTCGTCCAAGGCAACAGCGCAATACGCCGTCCCAGCGAAAAACGCCCCATCAGCCCCGCCTCTTCCACCGGCCAGCCATCGGACCTCATTGGATTCGGACCGCGAAAAAGTGTAGGATTGGCGTTCGAGTGGCGGACGGCAGTGCCCAAATCTCCAACCCCGCAGTCGGCCGTCCCTCGCGCCACGTCACCCTCTCCCTCCGGCCTTTGCCGACAAAGCCGCGTGGCGCCACCCGAGCCCCTACCAATGCGTTGCCCTCCAGCCAACGCCACACGCCTCGTTCCGCCTGCCCCCCACCCCGCGCGCCGCCCTTCCCAACACGATGGCCCTCCCCAGGAGGCGCGCCCTCTGCGCCCTGCTCAATGCGGCCTCATCTTTGGGCCGCATCGGCCGCAGCGACGCCCCGGCGATGGCTTCGCCGCTGGGGACAGCGGCATTCGCCGCCCAGCGGGACAGCCTGCCCCAGGCGGCGCGAAAGCTGACGTTATTCGGAGGTGTGTGGGGAAATCTGGTCGCCTGCAACGGTGCAGGCGGAAATGGTGGCCGTGATCGCCCGCGGGCGCTTTTGCCGCCAATTTGCGTCCTGACGGATCTGCTCGCCAGGAGGCCCCGGCGTGGCGTCCGGCATCGCGCCCATGAGGTTCATCTCGGTCGACGCCCTGCGCCCAAGCGACAGGTGCGTGCCCGTTGGGGAGATGGCGGCTGCCGCGCAGCTTCCGATGTTCACATTGTGGTTGCCACTGTGGGCATTGACCACCGCAATTCTCCAAATGCCAACCCAGCTGGCGGCGTCATTTTTCCACGGCGCGCCACTCGCGTCGATGGAAAGAACGCACTCCGTGCATTGTGACCGCATGGGCATGTTTCTCTCAATGTTCGCCTTGTGACCTCGGGTCCACCTCCCTCAAGATCGAATGGCGCGAACACAACCACGAGAGTGCGTACTGGAGCTTGTGGCAGTCTCTGAACTGGGGTTGCGTCCTGTGGCAGGTTTGCCCCTCGCCACAACAGCGTCAGCGAAGCCGACGCTGCGGAAATGCTCAAGGTGTGCGGCTACAAGACCGTCGACGACCTCATCAGCGCCACTGTGCCGAGTGCCATTCGACGCGGCGTAATGAACATCGGCCGATACGACGCGGGCCTGACGGAAAGCGAGTATCTCGAAAAGATTAGGTGAGCGGGGTGAGCGAAATGTCTTTCGTTTTTGGCCGTATCGTTCGTTTGTTGGTTTTTGTTTCGAAAGGTGCCCGTGTAGGCAATGCCTGTGTATCGTGTGATGAGGGGGGGCGGGACTGCAGACCTGTAGTGTGCAATGCAGACAGCCGTTTTGGGAGGCAGTGCGGTGAGTCGTAATAAAGTGACGTTTAGTGCATGACGTTGTTGCTCTTGGTCAGGAGACGGACAATGTGATAGCCACAAAATCTCAATTGGTTTAGGATTGCTAGCAGCCATCCAGTGGGTCAGTATGGACTGTTGAGGGATAGTATGTGCCAGTGGATCGGTATTGGTAAGTACATATCAGTGAATGTCTGGCATTGAGATCTGAAGTCCTGTATGAACAATGTGTCTGTCTCCAAAAAGCAAAATGTAGTGCATGCATGGCCTAAGCTCGCGCTTTGGACGCAAGGAACGCAAACACCGTCCACACAGGGAGGAGTCTTGCGATCCATTCTGGCAGCAATGCAGTATGCTTTGGGCGTCAGCCCTTGTTTGTTTTGCAGTCCACAACTCATCTGCTCTTCTTGCAAGAACCACTGTGCATCAATTCCGCCCAGTGTGGAAGTCACTGATTTTTTATGGTCTGCCGCAGGGGAATGGCCAACAAGAACAAGGTGTTCAAATCATACCTCGGGATGGGGTACTACAACACCCACATACCCCCAGTCATACAGAGAAACATTTTGGAAAACCCTGGGTGGTACACACAATACACACCCTACCAGGCAGAGATTGCTCAGGGAAGGTAAGAGCAAGGATGACCACCCAGCTTTCTTCCTTGAATTGGCTGTGTCTGTTTTCAAAATGCGGAGGCTCGCTAACCCCATCAATGCTCACTACTGCTCAGCAAGCCACGAAGTACCGCAAGAGAATTGTGCATTCAGAAGCTGCCAAACTCTGTCAAGGATGTTGCAATGATCTTATGTTGGGCAAACTTTCTGACCTGAAATATGAAAAGGGCCCTTTCATCTGGTATGGCACCTTCCATTGCTGCCCATCTTTGTAATGGATGCTGCTGGATGTGCTGGTCACAGGTTGGAAGGGCTGCTGGCCTTCCAGACGGTCGTTTGTGACCTCACCGGGATGGAAATTGCCAATGCTTCCCTCCTGGACGAGGCTACTGCAGCTGCTGAGGGCATGGGAATGTGCAGTGCGATGTCCAGGGGAAAGAAGCCAAGGTTCCTAATTTCGGTGAGCTTGTTGGTTGTGAACAAGCAAATTGCTGGATCTTTGCTGGGTGATTAGATGGTGTGTCAGCATCCAGTGCTGTCAACTGGTTTCTAGTGTTTGTATGCACCTGCCCCTCTGGCGATGGGGTAGGCTTTGTAATTCCTCAACACACAAGAAAGGGGATGTTGGAGTAGATATCCCAAGCTGTGGCAAGTGTGGCCCCTGGTGGTGAGTTGCTTGGGGGGGTATGTAGATGGTTGGAATCCATCACATATTTGGCTTGCTGCTAGGCAGCAACAGAGGCTCCAAGTAGTATCCTTCTGTCATGTTTTGGAACCCATGCAAGAGCTCACTACAAATCCTAGCAAACTTGCATCCATGGGCCATGCGGCTTGGGGCCTCAATTCGATTGGAGCTTTCTGGCGCGGATGCTGGGACTTGCAGGCTTGACGATCTCTGGGCCCAACAGTCATGAGCTTTGTGCAACAGAAGAGACAGCAGGGAGTCAGTCAGCAACCATTTTCAAGGTGGTTTGGATTCAGAAGAAAGTGTGCCACTGGTGAATATTGTGTAACAATTTTGTGTGCAGGACAAGTGCCATCCACAGACAATCACTGTCTGTCAGACACGTGCCAGCGGACTGGGAATCAAAGTGGAGGTGGGAGATGCTGCAACATGGAAGTTTGGCCCAGATGTTTCAGGAGCTTTGGTCCAGTACCCAGCAACAGATGGGACGGTATCGAGCTACAAGGTGAATCCCATTGGGGGCAGTTTGAAGTCTTGCTACTATGGCATTAATGGGTAACTAAGTGGTGCCAATGGGCAGAGTGGTGATTTGTACACTGCCAGATTGCGGATTGGAGCATGGCTGGGCTGAACAGTCCATTTTTCAGGCATGCTGTAGCTCATCGACTGTGTCATTGTCAGTTCATGCCGATCGCCTTTGTTAGGCATTATTTGCTCACCTGGTTCAAAGTTTATGTCGTACAAATTGTGCACTCCATCCTGCACCCCCCAAAAAAGGCGGCACAGCTTCTGTGCTCTTGGATTCATTCATTGTGCAGGAGGCAGTGTCCAAAGCTTTTGGTTGCGAAGCGTTTGAACTACCACTGTGTATAGGATGAACTGGATCTGCATTGATATTGACACAAATACTTGTTGCCAATTTCCTACATCTCTGGGAAATTCTTTGCACAACATCGTGCGATCGACCTGAGTACTTGTTTCCTTGTTGTGCATGTTGCATGATCTTGTGTGTTCTCATGGTACTTTCAGGAGCTTCTGCATCATTCACCACAGTATACCACAGTCTCACTGTTTTATGTTTCAGGAGGTTTGCCCATTGCATGAAATTGAACCCCTCCTTGCTATGACGTTCCCTTTCTCAGGCACTCGCAAGTCAGGCTCATGCTGCTGGCGCCAAACTCGTGGTGGCCACTGACCTGCTGGCGCTCACCCTCCTGGAGCCACCAGGGGAGTGGGGTGCCGATGTGGTGGTGGGATCAGCCCAGCGATTTGGAGTGCCCATGGGATATGGTGGACCACACGCTGGGTTTTTTGCCTGCCACACACAGAACCTGCGAATGATGCCAGGCCGACTGATCGGTGTGAGCAAAGATTCTCATGGGAGGCCAGCACTTCGGATGGCCCTACAGACGAGGGAGCAACACATCCGAAGGGACAAGGCTACCTCCAACATCTGTACAGCACAGGTGCGCACTTGCTTGCCTTGCCACCTCGTGGATTGAGAAGATGACAGAGAATGAATAAGTTTCAAAAAGATGTGGATGTGGTCCGGTTTGCCTGGGATGACTTGTACCAGGATGAAGGTGATGTGCATGGTTATTTGAGAAGGATGTCTGTGGTGGAGATGAAAGATTCCTCAGCAACAATGTTTGTGGTCAAGGCTTATTGTAAATGTTTTCGCTTGTTTGAGTATTCTGCGACGGTTTTGAAATTCAGCTACCTCCCCCTACCTGTGGAAAGAAAAGGCAGTGCAAAAGGCCTGCAAATTTCAAGATGGGAATGCTGCAAATGACAAGCTGCTGTACTCACTGACAAGATCAGTGTTCTTGCCATGCCTGGGCATTCTATGCCTTGAGTATATATGGAAATTGCGACTTGTGCCACTACATCTGTCACCATTTTCCTGTTCCTGTTAACTGAGACGTGTTGTGTGTAAAAGGCGCTTCTGGCGAACATCGCCGCAATGTATGCTGTGTATCATGGACCAGAAGGCCTGAAGACCATCGCCAATCGTGTGCATGGCCTGGCAGCCACCCTGGCTGAGGGTGCCAAGCAGTGTGGACACAAGGTGCAAAAGCAGCCCTTTTTCGACACAGTGTGCGTTGATGTGAAAGATGCCAAAAAGGTGAGGAGCAGAACACAGTTGTATGCAAGAGGATTCTTGCATTGTGTGCCAATGTGAAAAGGCGACGGTCCTTGCCAACCCTGGCCCTGGCGATGGGCATAGCCATGGACACTGTGTGCAGCTGTGTGCAGCTTCTGCATGTGAAATGTCCCGTTTGGCCTGGCACAGTGGCAAGACGCCTTCTTTGATGCTTGTATCCTGCTAACATCTTAAAGCAGTAACTAGGGCATCTCAGATTTATAGGTGCAAAGATGTTCCAAGGGCATGTTTATGCAATTTGGTTAGGTCGTTGCACCAATGGTATGTTACCTATTGGTCCAGAGTTGCTGTTGTCTACAGTCTGGTCGTTTGTGCACTTACACAACATGGTTGGCATGCTGACTGTCTGATTATTCAAGCCGCTGGCATTTGCATAGCGGTGCCATTTCTCCATTCTGCAGATACCCACTCAGTCTAGGTTTGGTATGGCACCGCATGACTGCTCAGCTGCTCCTTCAGTGAAAGTGCTGTGCTGTCATTGCCTGCACCGGCACAGCACATCTGACAGATTTGGTGAAATTTATCCTGACCAAAAGAGAATCAGGTTGTGCACTGGAGACACCCCATGCTTGGAACGATTGTTTGTGAAGCATAATTTGCTACTGTTGATAATAAAGCAAAAGTTTAATTTCAGCAGGAATAGCACGGAGAAGAGTGCCTGAAAGGTGTGTTGCTTCTCGTGATTCAGGTGGCTGCCCTGGCTGCTGACCACCAGATTAATGTGCGGGTCCTTAGCCCCTCTGAGATCACCATTGCCCTGGACGAGACGACCACACTAGAAGACGTCGATGCATTGCTGTGCGTGCTGAACGGCGGAGTGTCCCCCCCCTTCACTTCGGCCTCTCTGGCACCCAAGGTGCAACCCACACTGGGGCCGCATGCACGGACCACGCCCTACCTTGAGCAGCATGTCTTCAATGCCCACCATAGCGAGCATGAGATGTTGCGCTACCTGAAGAAGCTGGAGAACAGAGACCTGTCACTGGTGCATTCCATGATCCCCCTGGGTTCCTGCACGATGAAGCTGAATGCCACATCTGAGATGATGCCCATCACGTGGAACGAGCTGGCCAACCTGCACCCCTTCGTGCCTGCCAATCAGGCAGAGGGTTACAAGGAGATGTTTGAGGACCTGGCACAGCAGCTGTGTGCCATCACGGCATTTGATTCTGTGTCCCTGCAGCCAAACGCTGGGGCGTCGGGGGAGTACGCTGGGCTCATGGCCATCCGCCAGTACCACAGGCAAGTCCCACGATCTGTGTTCAGTCACAGGCCGATGGTGTGCAACTTGCAGTGGACACCAGTGGCTGCGATACATTGATGACACCATAGTATATGAAGCCCTTCCGCATTGTCAAATTTCAGCATTGCGGTTTTTGCTCCACGTTCTTTCCAAATGTTATAATGGGGGCTCCACATCATGGTCACAGCCAAAATGGCGACTCCGCACAGTTTGTGTGGCCTCAAATGCTGGTTTTCTGCCACAGCAACTATGCATCTGCGGCCATTAGATGCAATGAGCAGTCCAGAGAACCTTGTGTTGCAGCTGGCACTGCTCCACATTTCCTGGTGCCCTTATGTTTGTAATATGTCCCGCACGAAAGGGCAAAAAAGATAGTGGGAAGAGGCTCACATTGAATGCTGGTGACATCGCAATACTTCTCATCCTAGATATTTTACTTGGCATGGAAAGTTTAGGGTTCAAACACAAAGAAATGGGAAGACAACAGTCATGCATTGGTACCCTGTGGGTCAACGAGAGGCTGTTGATGCTCTTTTCTGTGCAATCTAATGATTGCATGAATGTTTTCAGTTGTGCATAAAAAAGTGTATCCAGTCACAGCACAGAGATCTTCAAACGGTGGTCCTAGATCGCTGCTTTGTGACAAGCAGGTCCCGCGGCGATCATGCACGCGATGTTTGCCTGATCCCAGCATCAGCCCACGGAACGAATCCTGCAAGTGCTGCCATGGCTGGAATGAAGATCGTCACCATCAGGTCGGACGACCAGGGCAATGTAGACATTGCCCAACTGCGGGAGAAGGCGATTGCCCACAAGGACAAACTGGCAGCGCTGATGATAACATACCCATCCACCCACGGTGTGTATGAGGAAGGCGTGGATGAGATCTGCAAGATCATCCATGATAATGGTGGACAGGTGTACATGGATGGTGCCAACATGAATGCCCAGGTGAGAGACTCTTGCAAAATGTTTGTTGAAATGCATGTAGAACCTTGGAAAAACATGCCATATATTGGAGCTCCCCCTCCCTGCAAGATTGTATCAGGCCCTTTTCCACTTTGCAGGGCTAAAGGAGCCACTGACAGATACTTTGAAACCATGTGTGTGCTGGGTGTGTTTTATTGTTGCTCATTATAAATGAATGGACAACTGAAAATGTGGTACCACTTCCCAGACAGAGACAACTGGCAACACCCAACATGTGCACGCATATTGGAGCTGTGCATTCCATGCATGTCCATGCAATGCAGTCAAGCATTATTGGGCAAGGATCTACTTCAGCCAATGTGTTTGACATTTTGCTGCCCAAACAAAGTATTCCTTGCAGCCAGTGAGCCAGGTTGCACGAGTGAAGGGCATAAGTCCATCTTGTGTACAATTGGCGGCAACTTGATATTGGCAGTAAGATAAGAAGAAGCGTTGCGAATCTTGGCAAGAGTGGCCACAACAGACACTTGCAGATCAAGGGCGACATTAACAGTGGTGCCTTATGATGGAAGGTGGTTGGCACGGGCACTGTGTTAGTCTCATGATTTATGCACATGTCGTTAGTTTTCTGGCCTCAATTCAAGGCCTGTGCCATTGGCGGCACGTAGGGCAGCACATAGCTGACTCCAACTTGCTCATGCTTCAAGCGCGTTGTTGCAGTAATCCAGTAGGAGGCAAAGGGGGGTTTGAGGAGCATGTGCTTGCTGCCACAGCCTGCTTCCTCAACACACTCCCTGTTTCCCCGCAGGTTGGATTGACAGCTCCAGGAGTGATCGGCGCAGATGTGTGCCACCTGAACCTGCACAAAACGTTTTGCATTCCCCATGGGGGTGGGGGCCCTGGGATGGGCCCCATTGGCGTGAAGGCACACCTGGCCCCGTTCCTGCCTTCACACCCTGTTGTCAACACGGGTGGGCTCCCAGTCCCTGATGGAAAGCTGGATCCCTTTGGCACAGTGTCTGCAGCTCCCTTCGGCTCATCGCTCATCTTGCCGATTTCCTATGCCTACATATCGATGATGGGCTCTAAGGGCCTGACCGAGGTAGGTGCACCTCTAGCATCAGGAGGTGCTTGGGTTTTGCAGCTGCTGTCTGCCATTGTCTGCTTTGGGATTGCTCTGTTGTAAGATGCTTGTATCTTGTTTGTCCTGTCTATTCCATCATTCCCTCTTCGTTTTGTGTTTCATTATGCTTCCGTTGGCCCAACATGTCCCCACAGATCCAATATGTTCACTTGCCGCACGAAAGGAGAAGAAAGGCAGCCACATTAAAAATATGGCATTTCCTGCTTCGTCGGCATCATACTGAGGCAATGTGGCTGGGCTTCATTTTGTGCATTGTTCCATATATGGTCGATCAACAGGGAGTGGAGGGCTTGTTTTGACGTTGAAGCTGGTGTTTTTTGCCTGCTGACCAATGTATTCTAAGGATGGACGACATCGAGATGCTGACGCAAGGAATAGCAATATCTGCCCACCACTGACCATTTTCCTCCATGTTCGAAAGTGTGCCTGGATGCACTTGATCAGTTGTGGTGGTGAAGTGTCTGAGAATGGGGAAACTACAGCATGCAGGTCAAGCCATATTTGTCCTATTGGTTGTTCAGTTCATATGAACGATATGTGACTTCTGAGAATCAATGTTGATAACCACGGGCATGTAATTCTGTTTGTCGATGCTTATGTCAGGCTTCAAAGCTGGCCATTCTGAATGCCAACTACATGGCCTGTCGACTGTCTTCCCACTACCCGATTCTGTTCAAAGGCAAGAATGGCACCTGTGCTCACGAGTTCATGATCGATGTGCGGCCACTGAAGGCCAGTGCTGGAATCGAAGAGTCGGACATTGCCAAGCGGTTGATCGATTATGGATTCCATTCTCCCACGATGTCGTGGCCAGTTGCAGGTGGGTTTGATTGCACATTCCAGCAGACCAGTGGCACCAAGTGTTTGAATAGTGCTGAATTTTGGAATATTCTGTGGATGCCGCACATCAGAATTTGTGGGAAAAAGGGACTTGTGGAAAGTCTTCAGCAACTGGCTGCAAGGAGGGAATGCATGATGAAGGTTGACAGCGTTTCGCCGCCACTCGCTGGCCCAACAGGGCCCTTTGAACAGAACTTCATTCTTGAGATTGGTAGCAGACTTGCAGCCTACTGGGGGGGCGTTTGTGAGGTTGGCTCCTTTACATTGTGCCACTGATGCCAGTGGCTGCCAGGCATGGCGTATATCTCTTTCTAGACACGGCGCAGGGCTGAGCTGTGCTGTCGATGCTTCTGAAACGGGCCAAACCTAAATGCTTTCATTGCAACCTTCTGCTCATAGCATATGTGTCAAGTGGAGAAGAAGAGATGGCGTTGTGGCCATAGCATGCTCAGTTCCACTTTGATTGTCTTTTGGTCCTGCAGACACGTGGCTGTCTGCTTGATGAAGCAGTGATAGATGCTCTTGATCTCTGTGTTGCATCCTTGCAATTGAACAAACTCGATGGCGGTGTCTCGCTCCAGCACTGCTGTATCTCAACAGCGCCAGCAGGGGTTAAGCTGTCAAATAGGACAACAGGTTGTAGATTGGGCATCCCACACTCAGCACATGGACTCTTAACCCGATGTCTTCAAGAGCAACAGAATATCGTCCAATTTCGCACTTCTTGGCTATTGGTAACCCAGCCCCTGCGCACAGGCACGCTGATGATTGAGCCCACGGAGAGCGAGAGCAAGGCTGAGCTGGACCGATTCTGCACGGCAATGATCGCCATCCGGGGGGAGATCCAAGAGATCATCGATGGGAAAGCGGACAAGGAAAACAACCTTATGAAGAACGCGCCCCACCCAGCGCACGTTGTGCTGTCCGACTCTTGGAACTACCCGTATCCCAGGGAGCGTGCCGCGTACCCAGCGGACTGGGTCCGCAACGCCAAGTTCTGGCCCTCGACAAGCCGCGTGGACAACGTGCACGGGGACCGCCACATCATCGCCAGGATCCCGACACTGGAAGAGGCGCGGGCGGAGGCATACGCTGCGGCGGCTTGACGCGTGCGCGAGGGCCGCCAGTGAACGGGTGCCGTATCCCTTTTGCGTGGGATTCTTTGGATTCTTTCTGGTGGACAGCCCGCCTGGACATTTTCTGAACAGTCAATTCATGGCTTCGGTGAGTACGAAAATTTTGCAATGCGCTTCTTCCCTGCTGAGGGCTGGAAGAACGGCAAGGCACAGAAAGAACCTGCCTTGCGGGGTTGGGGGTCAATTGGAAGTTGCCTCTGCATTGTCTATGTAAAACAGGCACATGTGTGTACCAGTACTTGTTGCGTCCTTGTGCGCTTGTCTGGGGTTACATGGGGCGATTTTGTCGCGCTTAGCGCTGAGCTTACGTCAAGGGAGAAGGGCTCCAGGCCGGGACGCCGGAGAGTACAGATTCTCTCAACATTAGCATACCATAGTAAACTCAGTGCACCACGAACTTTTCTTGAGCGGGACGGTCTACCAGCCTTCTAGCCTTGTGGAGTTTGGGCCCAGAACACGCGAGTTGGTTCCGATACACCATTCTAGGAAAACGGAAAACTTGCCAGTGTTATGGCGCTTGTGGCTCTGCCAGACGCACCAAGAGTCGCATGCACAAAGCTCAGGGCTTCGTTTGGGAGCACAACGATTCTTCAAGGACAGGATAAACGAGTTCGTCAACTGGTTCGATTATTATCCATTCAATAGCATCCATCACCGTTAACCCTAGGGTTTGCAAATGCACTTGCATTCACTTTCTGTCGACGTGCCAGCCGAACGCAGGAGCGTTGTGGGTACCAGAGAATTGCTGCTCACCAGAGCTAACATCTCTGAATGGGCGGATTATGTTGCGGTAGTACTTTGCCCGAACCCTACCGTAGTATGTTATGCCCCTCCGCATCGTAACGTAATGTTTGGCCATTTCATGCAAAGCAAGAATGAGAATGTAGCGATGCCAAGAAAATGTGGAGCAGACCCAGCCGCAACAAGAGGGTCTCTGAACTGCTCGTGGCATCCAGCAGCCCCAGATGCATAAGCCGCCATGGCGAAAAACTGGCATTTGAGGCAATGCAAACTGAGCAGAGTTGCCATTTTGCTGTGACCATGATGCGGAAGTAATGGTCTGTCGAGAAATGCGAAGCGAAAATCGTGACGCTGAAATTTTGAAATGTGGCAGGTGTCAATAGACCCAGGTACTCCGATTGAAGAATCCCTTGTGCTGGCCCCAACCCAACATGACGTGGGATAAAACGTGGATACCGGATTTCTAACACACACAGGCCATACCACTGAACCATTGCCATTGTGTTGGATTGCCCTCATGGTGACTGCTGATACAGCTGCTGAGTCACTGCCAATCTGTAGTTCAGTAAATGTGCAGCGGCCTCTAGGATGACCATACACAATTCCTCACAAATGTGCTGGTTGCGCACCACGGTAATCGCAGCAGGCGTTGCACAAAGGTCAAGTCATCTTGGCAACCACAGTCTAACAGATCTCTCCCTCTGTTCAATGAAGGAGCCCGTCGTCGGGTCGCACACGCTTAGCACCTAATGGCTTCCCCTCCCTTGCTTCAAATATGTGTCGAAAGCCCACGATATGCAACGCCTTGGCGGCAGGCGGCTACAGGATCCGCATGTGGGCCATCTGGAAAAGTCACCCAAGCCCAAAATTGACGTGTATATATTCCCACAGAATGGGATATTCGTTTATTTGGCTAGATGGCAACCACCACCGGCAACCCACAATTCAATTATATAGCAAGTACAGCAACTATATGTTATATACTATTACAGCGATTCGGGCAGATGCGCTGCCCCGGCCTCGAATTCCCACATTAGGGCATACATTAGATGTGGGTGTCTCGGGTTGATGGTGAAACGATTGTGGGTAGGAACGTAACTATTTAGCCTATGAATAATAATCTAATCTATCCGCCACACGATCCAAGATGAGCACTTTGGCGTGAGCTGCAGTTTATTGGGCCAGACCCGATCTTCAGACGCTGATTTGATCGACCAAGTCAGATCGGCGAAAGAAAAATGCGCCTCGCTGGTGTGCTCAATCAACAAAGCAACATGATCAACCCACTTCAGCATCATCACCATCATGCATGCAATAATTCATTCATTCATTCATTCATTCATTCATTCATTCATTCATTCATTTATTCATTCATTTTACCCTAGGTCACTCAAAAAGAATTTAGCGAGCTCATCATCATTAGTCATTCTTGCATAACAAGGCAATGAAATAGTCGTCAGCTTCATGTTGGCCCGAGCGAAGCAGTGTCTATGATCAGTTCATTAAAATATAACGTTCAACGCAAACAAAGGCTATGAATAACTCCCAGCTCCTAACACCTAACTCCCGACGCCCAACTCCTAACTCTTAAACTCCTAAGTACTAACTCCTATCCAACGAAATAATGTGCACTAAATCGAACACCCTGCGCGCCTAAACGTCATCCTAAGCTGCGGCATGCCTCCCCACCAGTACATTTTCGCTCGAAACGGTCCGTCACACCGTTACCGGATTCCAGGCGGATTCGGAATGCGCCCCGCCCCATAAAAGACCCGCCGGTCAGTCGCAGAGCGTCCAACCACCTTTCCACCCACGGGCGGAAGCTTTCGTGCGGAGCAACACCCGCTGAAGACACAGCGGGAGGATCCAGAAACAGGGGACCAACCAAGACCATACTGCCTCCTGCGTTCAGTAGGCGCCTGGGCAAAGGGACGCTCAGCGACGCAGGGCCGGCGGCGGGCCGGACGGCTCGGTCGGCATGAGTTGGGAGGCCAACTTGCGCGCCGGGGACAAGCCCACAAAGTGGAAGGGCCACGGGGGCACCGTGAGGACAAGGAGCCCGTCGCTGTCGGTGGGTCCCCTCGCCGCGAAAGCGGATGCGCTGGAGTCAATTGTGCGTCCAGTTTTTGACTTTCCGGACGCCGAACCTGTAGCTTTGGTTGCCGCGTGTGCTCGCAGAACAGGGACGCGGTTTGGGGGGGGACGGCTTTGCAGTCGGCGGAAAAGCGGCCGTCGTTCGTCGCTTTCAGCAAGAGGCGACGACTGGGGAGAAATCGAACGTTTATTGGGGTAGCGTGGCGGCCTCCCTGTGCTGGGCGCGTTCTATCAAAACTGCTGACGGATTTGCCTTCGGTGCCGCAGTCAATGCAGGGGACTTCGGCCAACGTGCACAAGGTCCACACCGAAATCACGTCGCTTATGGCGTCGGTGGAGGTGGGTCGCGCCTCGAGGCATATGGGCCTCGCTGCATACACGGAACAACGTATATGCATTGTTTCAGCACAGATTGTTCGGGGAGACCGGGAATGGGTACAGTATTCCCATGTACTATACAGGTGTATTATGGCCATCAATTCGCCCAATAAAAGCAAAGCGATGTTCTTGAGTGAGCTTCCCTGACGACTAGGCGAAAATGCAGTTGTAAGTTCGCCCAATTTACATGTGGTGCAGGGAACACTGGCGACCCTCAGGCGAGACATGGCGTCGGCCAGAAAGTTGTCGCCTCACTGCACGGCAGGAGCTCTGGGGAGCCTCCAAAACGCGCTGAGACCTATGGCGAAAGTGACGGCGTCAATTGAAGACGTGAGTACAGTCGTTGAGTCTACACGCGCGGTGTTGAGCACAATTGTTCCTAAAGAACATGATGCCAAATCCAATAGGAAGATCTGCGAAAAAAGAAAATCTTGATCAGATTTCTATTTTAAAGACGTATATATTTCAATAGTTTGCTACAATACAGCTGCATTTGCTACACGTCAGGCGCGACCCAAACTCTGATAACAATGTTTCCGTCCATGACAGGGTGCGACTAAGCGACCTTCACTCCTCACCGGCCATTTACATAAGTTCCACACGGGAAAGCCCCAAATGGGCGCGGACGAATTGTCCTCCATGTGGGACACAATCCGGCAGCAGGGGAGCATCATAGCCGACCTGCAGTCGTCCATTTCCAAGGCCACGGGAATGGCGCCCGTAAAACCTCAGGACCACAGTCAGTCCATCGAAGCCCAGTTGGAGCAGCACGGGCAGCGACTCACAGAGCTTGAGCTCTCTCCATGCGGGCAGGAAGACGTAGTTATGCGTTTGCAGGAAGAGAGGGACGATCGCATTGCAGCGGAGGACGCCAACGCGGCTGAATGCCGCGCCCTGAGGCAGCAGGTCGAGGTGCAGGACCGCAAGATACAAGAAATGTGCTTGCGGATGGATCGCTTGGACAGCAGGCAGGGAGCAGACGATTGCCCCTTGAATGTGCAAATGGATCGAGTCCTCGACAGACTGAAAGAGGTCGAGGGGAGGCTCTCGGAGTGGCAGGGGTCGGGAAACGTCCGCCTCCAGGAGCTGGAACGGAAGGTCAGCACAGGCGACGCTTCCGTCCTGGAAGTGGAAAAGGCTTCCCAGGAACTCCACCAGCAGATTGCAGACTCGTCCAGAACAGATCAACGGGAACGGCTGGAAGAGATCACGCAGGCCCTGAGCGCTCAGGAGTCCAGCATTCAAGGTATCCTCGATGACGTGCGGAACTCGAAGGAGGGTCTGCAGTGGGATATCCGAAACCTAACGGAGAAGATTGAGCATGTGAAAACGACGTCGGGATCGGAAATGGAAACTGTACTTCAGCTCGAATCTACAGTTTTTGAAACGACGCAAGAATTCGAAGCCTTTGAAGCTAGACTGGAGGCCGAAGAGACAGCAAGAGGCCAGGTGGAGTTAAAAGCGGACAACCTAGAGGGAGCCTTCCAAGCTCTGCAGCTTGGTGTAGCAACACAGGCTCAAAGGATCATTGGACTACAGCAAGACAGCAAAGTCACGAAAGAGATGCTTGAGAAGGTGAAGCACAAGCTGAACGCACACAACGGATCAATTGAGAATTTGTTGACGAAGTTTGAAGCATTTAGTTCCCACCAACACCAAGAAATTGAGGGTCTGAAGGATATGGTGAGAGAGGAGAGTAAGGTAAATTCCGCCAAGATTACTCCTATGCTTGAAATGGAGTCCTCTTTGGTACAGATGTTCCAAGGTCTCGAGGCCAGGGTTCGCGAAGAAACGAGCCAGAGAAAGGAAGTGGAATCGAAATTGGCGTCCCTTCTGGACGCTTCCAAAGCGAGAGAACTCCAGGTCGCCATTGATTTGCTGGGCTATCGTCTCTCTGATGTTGAAAGGGCGACTCTGAAGCAGCAGGGAGAAAATGTCGCTGGAGAATACCGGAAGGCAGATTTAGAGCAAGTGATCAAGAAAGTGACCAGCCAGGAGACCTGCATTGAGGACATGGCGGCGAACATGCAGACAGGAAATGTTGAAACGCGTGAGCGCATAAAGGATCTGGATACCAAAATTAACGAATGCGCGTTGGCTTCGACTGCGGTGGCTGCCAGCCTGCGTGAGTTGGAGTCTGCAGCTTTTGAAAAGCTGAGAGAGTTGGAGGGCAAAATAGAGGAAGCAGTGGACTCAAGGATTGAGTGCGCGGCGGGAAACGCCACGGTTCCGGATTATCAGAGTGTCCCTGAGGTGGCCGCTGAAAGGAAGGTCCCCAACATTGAGGAACTGGAGTCTTCCTTGCGACAGGCCATCGGTGGGCTAGACATCAAAATTGATATGGAAAGGAATTTGAGGACGGAGATGGAGTTGCAGCTGACGGCGCTGCAAAATGCTTCTTCGATGCCCGAGTTAAGGACCACCATGGCGTCGCAAAGCGATCGCATAACGGCCCTGGAAAGAGAGGCGGCAGAGAGTGCCCAGCGCCATGACGCGATCGCCAACGGAGTCCACCGAATGCAAGACCTTGAACAGAAGTTTCAAAACATCAAAGAAGCTGTTGCAGAACTGGGAAGGTCGGGTACGGATATGAATCAAGACATTGCCAATATGATGGAGATCCTGACCTCCAGTTTCAGTGAGCTGGAAAAGTCTGTGGCGTCAAAAGACGATGCAGTTACAAAGGTCGATGCAGCGGTGACAGAGCTTCGGGTGCAGGTCTCGCGGCTGGACGCTCGTGCCTCACGCGATCGCGCCATCGCAGAGCAGTTGCAACTGGTAATCGACTCGCAGCCAAATCAGAGGCGCGTCGACTACGATGCTCCCCATGCCATCCGCCCAATCAGCGACAACGGATGTGAACAGCGGAAGGAACGCGATCACGGGACCACACAAACATGCGTTGCCGAAGCAGAAATGTTCGATTACTTCCCTGCTTCGCATATTGACCATGGCAACCGGGAGGACAAGTTTTCGGCCATTAACTGCGTTGCGGGCGACGGATTTGCGCCGCCTGACTACGATTTGGAGGCAGGCATTCCCAGTGAGGGTCTGCAAACAGTCGCTGATCGGGCACCGGCACAGACATCTGATATTTTTGCAGATCAGGAACGCTTCTCGGGGCACGCCGCGCTGCTTGCTGACGACGCCACCCCTCTGGAAATGGAGACCTTCGAAATTTGCATTGTGGGCGGAGAGGGTGACGAGAGTGGGATCCACGATCCTGGAATTGGCGGGGGCACAAATTTGGATTGGAACGTCGACGGCCGAAGAGCCCTGCCTCCCATCGAGGAAGGCGAGGAAGCCAGTGATTCCGAGTCCGAGTACAGCAACGCCGGATCTGCCTCCGACAAGTCAGCGGCCTCGCTGGCATCACCGAAATCAGATAAAGATTCCGACGCGAGCATCAGCGACTTCAGCGACGGAATGGGATTTGAAGAGCTTCGCCCCGATCCGGTGTCGTCCTGCGACTCCTCGACTATCAGCGCGGTCGATGCGGAATACGGTCTTGAAAAGGAGGACGAATGTGTGCGCCTGTCTGCTGACAGCGCCACGCTGGCGGAGGCTTTCAAAGTCGTGGAAGCGCTGTCCAGCGAAACCGGTGAGATCCCATCCGTCGCTTTACTGAGCTGCATGCCACGTACACCCCTGCAATAGGCAATGCAACGAGGCTTGGACACCTGTCAATTGCTAGATGCCCAAAAGTGGAAGCGAAAGAGTCGGGTGACATTGGCAGTTGCACAGCGTGCAATATAACTGCGTGAAGTGGGCAAGATGGCAATGAAGAGTTTTCTGCTATTTGGAATTTAATGCGCCCGCTTGAGGGTCATGTACTCGGACGCTCACTTCTTGCTTTCTGCTTTTGCACCAGATGTGGAGACGATCTCTGTCGGAGCGCTCGCTCCACAGGTGTCCTTCAAAAACCCCATTTTCGATGAGGAGATAACCAGTTCAGATTACTGCCAAAATGCATATGACCAGCCCATTTTCTTCCGGGCTACTACAATTGACAATCCAACATTCCTGGATTGGGCTGAAGACGAGGAGTTCTGCAGTCGCAGCTCCTAGGAAGGGGATTTGAATTTATGCAGGCGGGGGGGATCTGTTGTATTAGGGACACACCCGGCCCGCGTCGGCCTGATGGGTGCTGTTCTCTAGGAGGGATTTTGTCACTCTTTACTGTGTTGAGAGTGTGCCTGTCTACAAAGCAAACACCCGGCCCGCGTCGGCCTTACGAGCGCATGCTTCAGCCTTTGCAAATGAAAAGCCAAAATTTTACAATGCTGATTTTCCTGCTGATGCTTGGAAGAACGGTGGGGCAAGGAAGAAGTTGCCTTGCTGGTATGAAGTTCGTTTGGAAGTTGCCTCCGCTCTTTGTCTAAGTATGCAAAACAGGCAAAATTGCACAACGCTACTCGTCGCGCACTTGCTTGTTGGTGATACGAGTCACGTCCAGTCTGTAGTTCGTGGATTGTGCACCGCGTTAATAGCAGCAGACATTGCAGAATATTCAATTCGTCCTGGCAATCAAACTCTGAGAGCTCTCTCCCTCTTTTCAATGAAGATTCCCGTCGCCAGGTCACAAGCGATCAGCAGCCAATGGCTTCCCCTCCCTTGCTTCAAAGATGTGTCGAAATCCCACGACATACAAGGCTTTGGTGGCAAATGAGCACTAGGATCCGCACATGAGCCGCCTGAAAAATTAACCCTATCCTTAGAAGTGTACCATATTTCCCACAGAGTGGTATTTCCTTTTATTTGGCTGGATGGCGACCACCACCGACAACCCGCATAGAAAGTCCAGGCACACGCCCTGCACCGGCCTGATTTCCCACGTGAGGGCACACGTCATAATGCGCTCAATTGTTTCGCATATGACAATGACACTTAAACGAGAACTGCGCTTGTGTATTGTGCGCTGCAGTATGCACCATTGGAACCATAGTCAGGATTGAAAACCATTGTGGCACCCAAACGCCGCCGTTGACAGGAGCCCATAGCGAAGCATGAGTCAGCTGACGATCATTTGTTGCTACACGCAGTGCGTGACTCCTGTCCAGAACATTATGGCTGACTGGGTTGCGCACGAAACATACCAGTCAGAGATTTGATGTGTACGGCCGTCAAGTTTCTAAGAGCCCTCTTGAAAATCTTTTACTCTTGGGGGAGCAAAGTATGGGGCAATCGAAAACAAATTTCACTTGATTGAATGTAGGTGTTTGTTTCCGGAGACCCTTTAATTTATGGCAGACAGGGGACTGTCCTTTTTTGGTTGTCCCTGCAATTCACACGGCAGCTTGATATAAGGGTTTCCTAGTGTCGCAGCAGATACAAATCCGGACTGGCACTCCTATCGATGGCAATTTGAGCGATTGTTTCAAACATACCAGTATGAGTGTACGCAAACACTTCGTAGGGTGAGGTAGTCAGCATGACAAAAAGTATGCTCAGTATTTTTCCAGTGTCAAATTCTACACGTGAACAACCCCTAGCAGGTTATATATCGGATTTTAAATCCGAAATCTAACGTGCCCTAAATTAGAGACACCGCACAGCAATCTACATTTCCTGAGGAACACAATTATTGAGTTCATAAATAAAGTCCTATCTATGCACAGCACGATCCAGGACCAAACCCGGGGCTTCCTTTGCTGCTGACTGGGGCAACCCCCACATTCAGACTCTGCTTTGTTCAATCAAGGTACATCGGCGGAAGAAAACTGTACCTCGCCGGAGTGCTCGATCCATAAAACAAGATACTTAAACCCAATTCACTCAAATACGATCCAAAAAATTCATGGGCTCTAATTCGAGCCACCTGCACACCTGACCTCATCTTAAGCGGCGGCATGATTTCCCACCTATATATATATATATATATATACATTATATATATAGTACATTTCCAATAGAAATGGCCTGTCATACCGTTATCGGATTCATGAGGGATCGGAATGCATGCAGCCCGATAACAGACCCGCCGGTCAGTCACAGAGCGTCCAATCATCATTTAAGCCACTGATGGAGGCTTTCGTGCAGAGGGACACCTGGTGTATGGCCTTGCCGAGGAGTGGCCCTCTGTCGTTAGACTTGCAACTAAGCTGCAGCTGGCAGCTGCATGCAGCCAGCTCATGTTCTTGCAAGCTGCGAACGTAGACAACCCTGCCTACCTAGACGAGGTCGAAAATATTGTTAAGGCTGTCTGCAATCGAAAGTGCTGATGCGTATGCAAAGTTCGCGGATATTGAAGGATTAGAATGGGACTGGGACGCGGGACAGGTATTGTTGATTTTCAAATGCCATTCCGCTTCTCTTTCTGGAAGTCGCTCATTGAATGCATTTCCTTTAAAGGATACATAATGGATTCAGTGGCGGCATTTGATGAAGGAAAGGGAGCTTTGGGAACTGCCTTTTCTTGTATGGAATCGTACTCGACATTTGCCAATTCACACCATGATAAAGAAGTCGATTGCCTTCTTTGCCATGTTTAATTGGCATAGTGGAATTTTCAACATGTCTTTCAAAGGCTGCCAATGAGTCCAGGCAGAACAAGTATATCCCAGTCAAGAGTGCAATTGTGGTTGTCGTATCACGCGGGGAATGTTCCAGTGCTCGTTTCTCCTTGTCATTTCCGAAGCGGCAGCATCCCTGATTGTGTTTCCTGCAGCTGCCGCCACTCGGTTGCTGTATTGGGACCCACCAAATCTGCATACGTTGGGATTCCTTGCCACCCACCGTGGTTGCACACAGGGGGTTAGGCAATAGAGCCCCACGTGAACGAAAATGCAGTCTGGATTCCAGAGCATCTTCGTGGCCTCTACCTGTCTGGCGGGATTGACACTAGCGGGTCCATTTTGTGTCGTGGTTCTCGTTCTTAAGGCATTGAAAGAAGCTGCAATTGACCGGTGTCTGATGCATGACAGAGGGGACATCCCCCAGCATGCGGATCGATAGTGTTGAAGATTTTGCAGAAAGCCCAGCTCAACTGTCAGTTTAGAGCTGCGGCTACGGTCACCGACTGTTCTGGGATGCGATATTCTTGCCTTGACATGCTCAGTCGCACAGCATTGCATTCCGGTTTCGAATACAGCATTTGTGAGGCTTCCGAAAGCTCTTTAGAAACTGGGATGCAGGGGCATGCCACAAAGCGTCCTCACAGATCAAGCGCTAATTTACAGGGAGTGAGAAGCGTCAGCGAGGAAACATGCCATCAAAAGACGCGCCCAGCTTAAGTTGCATCAGTTTATGATGTGGGCTCTAGCCCCGCTGCCTGCGTCGCCAGCCGCAGCCACCAGTCTCAATATCATCAAAATTGGGGGTGCCCTTTACCCGCTGTCCCGCCCAACCCCAAGGATCATCTGGCTCCTCACAAATGCAATAAACAATAGGGGATGTGTTGCATCTTACTACACAATCACACCAGCAGCTTCGTCATAGCGGACTGTAGGCCCCCACCAACCACTGTCTTGAACCACAGCGATGAGCAGCCGACTCCTCAGATACGAGCAAGAAAGAACGGCACCATGCCAGTATTCAGTCCTTTGCACGTCACTGTAAGCCACTTCGCCCAAAAGCAATGGCAACTGAATCATGCCTGTGTGCAGACTGGCTTCTTGTGCTGCGAGCAACCACTCTCTGTGTGCTGCACCAGTGCGACCACATCGTTGAATTGCTGCCCGCACCAAGGGCAAACGTCCCCGCCATGCATGGCGTCCTGGGCGGGATGGTAGTCCTTAAAGTGTTGCCTCAGCTGCAGCACTTCAGAGAAGCGAGCGCCACAATGGCGGCAAACCTCCTGTGGCTGTCCTGATCGACTCTGAGCGCGATCCACAAAAGTGCGTGAGCACGGAGCGGGCCAACTGCTCAATCGCGGCCATTGCTTCAGGCACTGCCAGGAGCAACCACTTCGACGAACTGGATTCACGGGAATTGATATTGTCCAATATGTGCACAACAACATATTGTCCCAGAACAGCATTGCAAATAGTTGGCTACAGACATCAACCTGAACATATGTGCCTGGACATAATCATGTGGCACCTGTTACGTCCGAGACACCAAGACCAACTTCGCACATATCTCTCTATTTTGAGGCATTTCCAAGAAGCATCACATGTATTGAATACCAGCCAGGTGCAACCAATCGTTCTTATCCAAAGTTTGCAATGCACAATTGGCACACAGTGCGCTTTGCACTCAAGTTCCTGATTGCGATATTACTGTATGTCTCCATGTCAGCTGTGCAGTACTGAGCATTAGCCAGACGGTGCGGGTGACAGTGCGATCGGTTTCCACTAGCAAGACCTAAGCAGGCATGTACGTATACTAGCTGTTCCAAGATGCAAAGGAAATTCAGGAGAATGTACAAGATGTTGCCAGGACAATTTTGTGACCTGGTGGCACCGAGCCTCGTGGTCCTGATGATGTTTTTGGTGTTAGTTAGAGTCCTGTATGCTAGTGGCAAACGCAGGGCTTAGGTGATTCGAGGCTACAACACTCTATTGCGATTGTTCCACCTTCTTGGCAGGGATGAATTTTCAATTCGTAGAGCAGAAGACTGCGAGCAGTGAGAGTTCCGAAATGTACACAACGACGTGCATGCACTTTCGCCCATCATCACCTATCAGGTGCGAGGGCCGTGGCTTGTCATTTCACGA